AGCCTTGGGTTCTGGATTATAAGTTCAGTGACATTACCACTACACAACTAATACCACCTCCCAATTCTTTTCTGTTCCTTCATTCAAGCCTGATCAATTCTAGAATCATTTTGTGTGTCCTTTCTGCTCTTCTCAGAGCGCCTTCAGATTAATATCTTGGCTATTGTCTTTATTAAAGACACTGTTCAGAATGCACTTCCCTATTCTTTATTGTAATGGACACCAGCACAGCAATTTTGAGCATATATCTGCAAAATAGAACAGACATTATTTGGATTATATTATTAAATTAATGTTTATGGTTTCTATTGACTTTCTTCTGCTGACTATTTTAAGCTGTTAGAAGGGCAGAGAGAGAATTATAGAATCCCTACAGTGCAGGAGGCTATTTGGCCCATCGAGTCTGCACCAACTTTCCAAACAGCATCCCACCAAGACCTACCCCCTACCCTATCCCGTAACCCCATATTTAGCATGGTTAATCCACATATCCAACACTTCCCTGGACGCAATGGGACAATCTAGCATGCCAATCCACATAACCTGCACGCCTTTGGACTGTGGGAGGAAACTGGAGCACCAGAGGAAACCCACACAGACACGGGGAGAATGTGCAAACTCACACAGACAGTTGCTCGAGGCTGGAATTGAACCCAGATCCTTGGCACTGTGAGGCAGCAGCACTAATCACTGAGCCCTGGGGCTGCCCAAATTTGTCAATAAATTTCAAAGGTGGGGACAAAAATAGATTAGTAATATTTGGAAGCTTTAATTCCTCCATTTAGACTGAAGAAAGGTCATATGAGTTTATTATGCAACCATCTCTTACTATCAGCTATTATTAACCATTACTGTCAGCTACTGCTATCTATTACAATCAACTAGTACTATTAGCTGTTCACTATCTCTTGCTATCATCCATTATTATCAGCTATGGTTGAAATGTTGATCAGCATCTGAGAAGTAAAACTAAGTGTAAACATGCATGTGGACCTTTCTGAGAATTTATTTCTAAGGAATGATATTCAGTTCCAAGCTTCGATGGAATCGGCTCATTCTTATTCCTTCTGAAGCTCCTGAATAATTAGAATAACTTATTTAAAACAGTCAATTCAGTAAAGCTCTAACTCATGTAATCACAGTTGTGCACTGCCATGAGGTTAAGGACAGAAGCCCATGCAATGGTGAGGAAGTATTGTGTACCGCCTATAAATTACACATATCCATCCTAAAACATAGCAGTTTGCAAATTAAGATGACATGCTAATGTTAGATTTTCTGACCCAGTAGAATTGTTACATTTCTACATTTATTTTCCCTTTCGACACATTTGTATCCATTCCAGTGAAAATTATAGTTGGTTTGAAAGGCAGACTTAATATTAGGCTCCAAAATGATACAAAATGCACCAAATAAAATCTGAAAAGCACAATATCATGAACATGACTTCAGCACTCAAATTTTGGATTCTAAGTCCAATAATATTGCAAACTACAATTTCACCAGTTATTTGTTTTGATCTTCAATAAAGATGATAGAATGTTATTGTATTATTGTTATATTGTGTAATAGTGGTATGTAATAATGTATTGTGTGTCACATTGAATTTTTAGTCTAAATTTGTGAATTCCACGAGTCATGAGGTTGGTTTCGGTTTGCTAGCTTTTGCCAATTTTCAATGTTGACATTTTTGGGCTACTGAGTCCTGTTTTGTCCTAGTTTCACCAGTTTTCCATACTTCACTTTCACCTGTCTATTGAGGGCATACGAATCATAGAATCATAGAATCCCTACAGTGTGGAAAAGAGCAGGAGCAGGCCATACAAACCCTTGTGTCTGAATCATTCAAAAAGATCAAGGCTGATCATTTGCCCCAAATCCTCTTTCCTGCACTGTTACCATATCTCCTACTCCATTTTTCCCCATTCATTTAGCCTTTTGCACAGTGTGCGTGGCATTTAATGTTGATGGTGGGAGTCTGGACAGTGGCAAAATTTCCCCTTGAACAAAACCCTTCGTGAAAGCATGGAGATCCCAGCAGCTGAGACCTGTTAGCTGAAAAAGAAGCCGCCAACTCTTTGTTGCTCAGCAGCACCACTTGGAAGGTAGTGGCTGCTGCCGGTACTATACCCACCTGAAGTGATGAGCATCCAGGCCAGGCACAGGAGAGTTATGGCACATCAGGTCACACAGGGTGGGGGTTGTGCGAGATGGGTAGTGCTGTCAGCAGCAAGGGCAGGAGTCACTTCTCAACAGGTTCCCCTTTTCTTGATGGTGGATCCCTCACTAATACGAACACGGGGTTTTGGAGCATATGTGGGGCCTTAAGTCCATTCAGCTACCCCAACATTCAATAAGAACATGGCTGATCTGACTGGAAATTACCCTTCCTGACCAACCCCACCCCCAACCACACTCCCCCTCGCAATCCAGTAACTTGACTCCCTTGACTATCAAAAGGCTATTTAGCCTGTAATAAATTTCAGGACTGACCCTCCACTGCTTTCTGTGGAAAAGAATCTTCAGACTAACAACCTCTGAGACTCTCCTCATCTCCATCTTAAAATAGGGCTATATTATTCTTAAGCTGTTTCTCTTAGTTCTAGTCCACTTCACAACAGGGGAGGCAATGGTCCAGTGGTATTATCACTGGACTGTTAATCAGATAATGTTCTGGGAACTTGGGTTCAAATCCCACCATGGCAGATGGTGGAATTTGAATTCAATAAAAAAAAAACTGGAATTAGGAGTCTAATGATGACCATGAATCCATTGACAATTGTTGAGGAAAAAAAAAACCCATCTGTTTCACTAATACCCTTTAGTGAAGGAACTGCAATCCCTATCTGGTCTGGCCTACATGTGACTCCTGACTCACAGCAACATGGTTGACTCTTAAGCACCTCCTGGGCAATAAGGGATGGTCAATAAACGCTGGCCTAGCCACAGACATGTACTTCTCATGATGAATTTAAAAAAAGGAAATATCCTGTCTATCAAGTTCCTTCAGTATCTCATATTACAGTAAGATCACCTCTTATTTATCTAAACTTCAAAAGATAGGGCCAACCTGTTTAACCATTTTTAATAAATCCTTCATCCCAGGAATGAATTGAGTGAGTCTTCTCTGAACTGTAAGTAGTCAAGGACTGTGATGCACTGCTTGAGTTTTTGGTGAAGGCAAGTTCAATTGAATCATTCAAAACAGATTGGACTGTGATCTAAAATTGAAGAGGGAGAGCCCATGAGAATGGCAATAAGTGAAATGTTCATTCAGAGAGCAGGTACAGACATTACAGGCCAAATGGCCCCCCACACTGTATTAGTTCTGTGATTCTGTGCAGTTCACATTTTCGCACATTATATTCCATCTGCCAAATTTTTTCTCACTCACTTAATCTAGCTATGTTCACGGCCCCTATTACTCCCCTTGGTACATTACTTTACCATCTATCTTTGTGTCATCAGCAGATTTAACTACCAGACATATGGTTCCTTTATCCAAGTCATGAAATCCAACATCCACTCTAATGCTCAGTGCAACCTTTGGACAGCTGAGGAATAGTGTTCAACATCTGAGACCTCAAACCCAGCATAAAGCTCATGGTCTACAGAGCATTCATAGTCTCCACCCTCCTGTATGCATCGGAAACATGGAGCATGTACAGTAGACACCACAGATCACTGGAGAATTATCACCAGCATTGCCATTGCAAATCCCACAAATCCACTGGTATACAAATGTGAGGGTATTCTCCCAGGCCAGCATCCCCAGTATGAAGGAACTGGTCACACACCACCAGCTGTGATACAACATTGTCCCTATGCCTGTCACTAGCCCCCCTAAACAAGTGCTCTACTCTGAGTCCTGCAATGGTAAATGATCATTAGGAGGGCAGAAGGAATGCAACAGGGAAATCCTGAAAGCCTTCCTAAACAAATGCCACATCCCCACTGACACAAGGGAATCACCTGTCCTAGTACACACAACCTGGAAAAGGAGCTTCTGCAAAGCCACCAGCCATTCCAACTTCATTGACTGCAGCAATTGGAGGCCAAATACAAACAGCAGCAAGAGCATGCAGAATCTAGAGCAGAGCATCCACCCTGCCTCCTCAAACACCACCTGGGGCTCCAGGGTTGGACTACTCAACCACCACAGAAACTGCCTCACCCCATCCTCAATCCTGACCGACTTGCCAGAGAAGAAGAAATAGTTGAGGGCTGATTCCTGTGGTATTCAATTAGGTACTGAGTGCTTTGCAGTGAGGGATCTCCTGGGTTCCCTCAATCAAACATGCCAGGATTTCCATATGGACTTTTCACCTGCCACCATTAAGTACCGGAAGATGACGTTACCATCTCCCATATGTCTTTTATTTTGTCAGTCAACCACCTCCTACTTTGCAGCTCAGTACTATATCAGTCATTCTATTTTATTAGGATTATGGTCATTTGTAAAACCTGCTAATCCTGATAGAGATAGTAGGAACTGCAGATGCTGGAGAATCTGAGATAACAAGGTGTAGAGCTGGATGAACACAGCAGGCCAAGCAGCATCAGAGGATCAGGAAGGCTGACGTTTCGGGCCTGCTGTGTTCATCCAGCTCTACACCTTAATCCTGATAGAATATTTACAATCTGCCTGTTCTCTCTCTGTAGACGCTGCATGATCTGCTAAGTATTTGCAGCATTTTGTGTTCTTCTTTCAGATGTTCAGCATCTGCAGTACTTTATACCTGGATAACGAAAAGCAGTAATCCTTGGGACCTAAATCTGAAAATTCTGCACACACAACAGCTGCAGCCAAAATACCCTGAAAGAGAGTAAGAACTAATTGGATGGTGCAATGGGGAGACGGAATGAACGGGGACAGTCTAATTATCATCCTTGTCCAATAGTATCTCGGCCCAACCCAGTAGATGAGTCAAACTGCGCCTCTTAAATCTTTCATTGGTCCATACTACTTTCAATTTCATTCTCTCCATGTTGATTGCTTAGATATTCTGTGAGCCCCACCCGGTAGTAGAAGTCTGAAACACATTGTCTAAGTTAAAGCAAGTGTGAAGCGCAATTGGAAAGTTTACGTGAAACGTTTTGCCTATTTCTAGAGCATTTACTTGTTTTGTAGGTCTCGGGTGCGCTTTTGTCGTAAAGTATTCCTTTTACCGTTGGAAGTATCTCCGTTTCTGGTGTGTTGTGTCACGGGCAGGCTTTTTAAACCGAGTTTCCGCCCAACTTTAGTAAACTGCTAATGACTTTGCTACTGTTAAAGTGGCTGTAAATCTGTCCTTTGCTTTACTCCGTCATTATAATGTCGCTCTTGCTAGTTGAGGATAGCAGACTGAGTGTTAAACTGGCCGATTCTAATTCTAATTTGTTTGCTGAATAGTTATGGCGTCAGAAGTGACCGAAGACGTTAAAGTCTCCGATTTAGCCGAGCACCAGGAGAACGGAGAACAGCAGGTACTTTTTTTAACGTGGCTCTAGTTTTCTGTTTGGTAACTTGTGAAATATTCACCTACTACTACCACCTATGTGGTGACCTGAGAATTCCTTCCAGTGTGTAATTTAATGATCAAGTTGTCACGAGTTTGGGTCTGGTAATGCGGGCACTGCTTTCTGCTGTGAAGAGAAGTATTACTCAATGCTTTGGTCTTGCGACCTTTGTCCTAGTTTGTAATAACTCACGAAGTTCACGCGTGAGTAAGAGCTTCTGTTGCTGCTTGCAGCTTCTGTCCCCCGAGACCTATTCCAACAGACCAATTTTAAAACGAAAGGTGTATTTAGAACCTGCCATTCGTGGCGAAGTAGTTTCGCCCCACCCCGTTCTAAACTTGGTTCGTTACTTATTTTTCTTACTATGTCAATTTCTTGCTCTTTAAATGAGGCTAGGAAGCTCAGCGCTTGCGAGGGGTGGCTTATTATTATAAGTAACTTTTTTTTAAATGCTTTGAAATGACTGCATGGCAGTAACTAAAAGTAGTTTAGGGTTTTGGAGGCTGGGGTATGGGAAGAGCTCCAGGATGGCGCTGAAGTATCGCGGTTACTGTGTCACGATTGAATGTTTGAGAATTTGCAGGAGGTCCAGATTCTGAGATGGATGTGGTCACCAAAACTAGGAGTGGGGCAGAGGAGGAGGGACTGAAGAGAGAAATCTCTGTGGGGTAAGGAGAGAAGATATGAGCTTGGATTTTTATCTCAGCTTGGATGATCTCCCCTGTGATTTTATTCTAATAATGTTTCAGCACAAAAGGAGGCTACTTAGATCTGTCGTGTCCAGGTCTCTCAAATATTTTTTCCCTGTAACCTTGCAATATTTAATGTTAGAATTCTAAGGCTCATGAACGTCCATTGAAAGCTCTGGGGAAGAGTTATTGGACCTGTTAACTTTGACTTCTCTCCATAGATGCTGCTAGACCTGCAGAGTTTTTACAACAATTTGTTTTTGCTTTGAGTTTCCGTTAACTTGCATCTCTTGAGCCCAAGCAACGTGTTGCAATAACTTTGCAGTATGTTGGCTTTTTGACAAACAGCAAAAAGTGACAATCAACTTCAGTCACTATCCTCCGTTCTCAAACCTTACTCCAATATGGTGTCCTCCCTCCCTCCCTCATCTTACCACAAGGTCTGTCATCATTTTGAAAGCATTCATCAAATCTTTTTCCTAACCTTCTGTCAAAGTAGATGAGAAATTCTCCAATATACTGAGCTGTGCAGTCTTGTTTGCACAACCTTGAATATGCAGCCCAGAAATGGAGATCTAATCCTGCAATGGAGGATGACCTAATAATCTGTTACAAGACTCCACTATCTTTTGTACTGTGCTACTTTGAAATCCATAAGACTGTAGGATTTTGGAGCAGAAGTAGACTATTCAGCCTGTTGAATAACAGCAAACTCGATGAATTCATAGCTGATCTGATAATCCTTATACCACTTTCCTTTTTTAAACCCTAATCTTTGGTTTCCTTACTGATTTAAAAATCTTGTTTCTTTGTCATGAATACAGTTCAGGATTCCTTGAGGTTATTGACCATTTTATTGGTCTAGCATATCCTAGCACCTTCCTTCATCTGTGTTGACAGCATGGTAAGCTCTACATTTAATTCATTCATGGGATGAAGGTGTTGCCGTTGTTAATTACCCAGAGTGCAGTTTGGTTAATCACATTGCTGTGAGTTCAGAGTCACATGTCAGCCAGACCAGGCAAGTAGGGTGGTTTACATCCCTAAACGACATTCTCCAGTAAGATCTCCTTTTTCTTTTTTTAAAAAAAAGTTGCTGGCTCAAGCAGATTCACTTCTTTAAAAGTAAAGTATTGCAAAGGTTACCTGAAACTAGAGGCAGACTCTGAAGGTGACCTAATGGTACTGGAGAGCGATGGGCTGTAGAAGATTAGATCTCCAGTTTTAAAACTGGACAATTGGGTTGGAATTCTGTTGTGTGTAACTAAAAGAATTGTTTCCAAAAGTCAAGTTTTAGACAGGAGCTGCATGTGATTTTAAAAATTAGTGGATGTGGTAAACAGGATGGGTATTTGCTTGTCAGTAAACAAGTTGTTGAAATGCTGGAAATACTTAAGTATGGCATCTGTAGACAGGTCACATTTCAGACTGTTAAAATTTTGTATATTTTCCAAATGACCTGAACTGGTCGGGGTTTAAATGGTCACTTTTTTTCATGTTGCAACTCTTAGCTTCAGCCTGGTCTACCAGTAAACTTGGCATTCACTATAGTTGTTAAATATTGCTGGTTATTTTGAAGATAGGACTATTGTCTGAAGTCATATATTCCATTACAAACTAGAATAACTGCAGTTGTTCACATATACAAATTTCCTGTATAGATGGTCCTTTGTGTATTAATCATCATTTTTTATTAGGATTGGGCAAGCTTTCTATTTCCTTGCACCATATAGTTGCTACAAAGCTCAACTGTAAATGAATGTCGTCGTCTCTACCACTGTCCTGAGAGAAGTATTTCCTGAGGCTTGCGTCATTTGGAGTAACTTACTGTGCAATGATCTGGTGATTTCATGTTGTATTTTCAGAATGTGGTGGACAGGGTGGCGAACCTGCCTCTTGTGAGCTCAGCCTATGAAATGGTATCAGCTGCCTACAACAGCACCAAAGAGAATCATCCGTATGTGAAGACCATTTGTGATGTTGCTGAGCAGGGAGTGAAGACTATCACAGCTATGGCTGCCAGTGGCACCAAACCAATCATAGACAAGCTGGAACCCCAAAGTAAGACTGGAGCATATGGCACTTCAGCTCATTTGGGATTTAAAGGCTAATAGTCTCTTTTTTTCAAGTGAGACTTGTACAGTTTTTAAAAAAAAAACTTAAGCCTGTGAGTGCATGTTGGTGCCAAACCATGACTAAAAGGCAGTAGATGTGAATAGTGCACATTTTCTCTTGGATTCGATTTTTGTTGTCAAGGGCAGCATGGTGGCACAGTGGTTAGCACTGCTGCCTCAAAGCACCAGGGACCCAGGTTCAATTTCACCCTCTGTGCAAACGCCAGTTGCCTTTCTCCCCTTGTCTGTGTGGGTTTCCTCCCACAGTCCAAAGATGTGCAGGCTAGGTGGATTGGCTGTGCTAAATTGCCCATAGAGTTCAGGGATGTGTAGATTAGGTGGATGGGTCTGGTGGGATGCTCTGTGGGTTGGTGTGGACTTGGGCTGAAGGGCCTATATCCACACTAGGGATTCTGATGATCTATGATGATTTAGGCTAGAAATCTCTAACTGTCCACAAGACTGTACATATTCATTCAGTTATGAATTCTGAGGGCTAAATAATACACATTTAGTGTTTTTGTAAAGTATACTTGTATACTTTAAAACTTCTAAAGAATCAAAACCTTGAATGGTGACCATAGTCTAGTATGCATCAATGACTTTCATCTGACTCAACCCTTTGACTCTGAAAGATCCTGTTGTGTTTCTGTAAAAGCATGAATGTCCAAAATATTAGAACTGTTTTGCAACAAATGTAGTTGCAATATGTCTATACGTCACTAATACTAGTTCTTTTGTTCTTCCATGCTGAAGTGTCCTCTCCACTACTCCAACAAGCAGTAAGTCCTTTAAAGTAAAGTAGAGAAGGTATTTTTGGCTGAGAGAATGTGCAGACTAATAAACTCTGAAGTTTCAAGCTATAATTCTAGTGCATTCTTTGGCTGTACATGCACTGAGCCCTATTCTGAAGCTGTCCTTCCCTGTCTTTGTATGTTGAGCTATTTAAAGACAGGCTGCAGGACCAACATCCAAAGGAATCTTGGGCATTTTAAGCTTTGCTCAGTGCAACCCTGTGCTGTAAAATATCTCCATCAAAGCTCAACAATAAATTTCCATGCATCTCTTGATCCTGACGCACTGGGAGTTGAATTGAAGGCTTCACTTCACAATTGTCATTACAGCCATGTTTGTGGTAACATTTACTAAATGTAATTGCTGAGATTGTAGGTAACTTCAATTTGAGGGGCAGCATAGAAAATGAACATGCTTCAAAATCAAGTGCAAAAGTTAAAGCTTTTCTTAAATGTTAAGTTCACTAAGCAATTTCAGGGTCAAGTTATTGAAGAGTTCTGAACTCTTCATAGTTGATGGTAAACTTGTGCAAAGAGGCAGTTGTTCAATGTGAGCACGGTTAGACTTGTCTCTAAGCAATCTTTTTTGGTTTAGTTGCTGTAGCTAACGAATATGCCTGTAAAAGCTTGGATAAACTGGAAGAGAAGCTTCCAATACTTCAGCAGTCTACACCCCAGGTAAGAGAAACCTCTAAAGTGACCCAGCAAATGGTACTGAACCTTAATATTCCATTCAACACCAAAACAAAGTTGCTGGAAAAGCTCAGCAAGTCTGGCAGCATCTGTGGAGGAGAAAACAGTTAACGTTTTGGGTCCAGTGACCCTTCCTC